CAAATCATTTTATCATGAAGGAGATACATGGATGGGTTATATACAAGAGGAAGGCTGTTTTGTTGTTTATTCAGGCTGCAGTCATGGACATTATTGTAAAACAAGTGACGTTAACTTTACACTAGAAAGTGTAGACAAGCAGTGTACTCTTAACAAGTCTGGTCTTCTTTGCGGAAAGTGTGCTGAAGGCCTTAGTCTCATGTTAGGTTCTGACAGATGTGGTGAGTGTTCTAATTATTCATTATTTCTACTTATTCCATTTGCTCTTGCTGGTATTATTCTAATTGCATTCATCACTGCTTTTGACCTCACTGTATCTACAGGGTCAATCAATGGACTACTGTTTTATGCTAACATTGTCAAAATAAACGACATGAATTTCCTGAGAAATGTTTCAGTTCTGGATGTATTTATTTCGTGGGTTAATCTTGATCTAGGAATTCAAACTTGTTTTTATAATGGCCTGACAAGTTACTGGAAGACATGGCTTCAGTTTGCCTTTCCTGTTTATTTGTGGTGTTTAATGATTCTTATTATTTTTCTCTGCCATCATTCCATTCGATTATCAAAGCTTATGGGAAGGCATTCTATATCTGTATTGGCAACTATTTTACTCCTCTCATTCACTAAAATAATACGTACATGTATCCAGGCACTAAAACCAGATATTATACCTTGTGGTTCAAAATACATAACAGGATGGTACTTTGACCCTACAATGAAGTACTGGGGTAGTGAACGCAGTTTTATGGTTGTAGTAACGGTGTGTTTCTTTTTACTTGCCAGCTTTTATACATTGTTTCTTCTATGCAGTCCATGCATTGAGAGACATTTATCGCGTTACCGTTGCTGTAAGTGCTGGGTTAAACTGAAGCCTTTTTTTGATGCCTACAATGGACCATATGATGACAAAAATAGGATGTGGACTGGATTTCTTCTACTGATGAGAATCATATATGCAGTTTTAGTCATTGTGTTTGGTGAGGCACAATTTGTTATTATTATTACTATTATAGCGATACTACTTGGTGTTGTTGCCGTAACAAAAGGTCCATATCAGAAGAAGTGCAATAATTATCTTGAATGCTTTCATTACGTTAATCTGATTTTTCTAGCAGCAATCAATGATACAAATATAAATTCAAAAGCTTCTTATATCTTCAGCTACATCTTTGTCTCTCTTGTAGTTTTGGTTTTTCTTTGCATTGTGATCTATCGCTTTACGCAGATGAGAATATGGAAAAAAATTAAGTCTCAGATAATGAGGATGCCACAAACTGCAAGAAAGATTTCCCAGCGTCATAAATATCTGAGGTCACTGAGGGTTCCTTTTGTAGATGACAGACACGTTGTTACCCATGACATGGAGAATATGGTAACAGTAGAACTGTATGATGAAGATGGCGATTTTGTGACTAGAAGAAGAGAGACACTCATACGTGAAGATTTGATTGACTGATTTGTAATCCACATTTTGCATGCATGCATACAATAACAATAAGTAGTTGATGGTTTCATTTTTATTTTTACATAATTCCACAGCATTGATATTAGGGTGGGAGACTGGGAGTGGCAATCAAAAATGGCTGGTATTCTGTACGCCAGTACTACTACGTTATAGCATTGTTAGTCGTTCCTATGGAGCTAGTACGGGGAAGGATGAGAGCCTGGGTTAGGATTGGCTGTTCTTCTGTTTTTTGGGGTGACACATCCGAGTCTGCGCCTCAGTTTATGGACATGGTTGTTTGGACTTCCTTGTTGCTGACTATCTCTCGGAAATAGCAATGTCCCTACTAGCTGGAGCTAAAAGAAAGAAACCAGTAATGATGCATTTCCTGCACATGCTGCATGATAAATGTACTAGAAATCTCCATTTCATTTCGTAACGCAGATATATGCACATGTTTCATGTTTGTATGTTAATTGTGTAGCAAGTTTGAGCTGATTCTGATCAAAATTGGATTTTTTACAATTTTTGAAGTTACTCAAAAACACTCTACTATGGTACTAAAGCTAGGCAAATTATGCTAGCATAATTTGGTGCATAATAAGGCAAGTTATTATGCTGGCATTTAAGCATAGTGGGTCAGAAAGTTCTGACCACATCCATACCCATACCCTGACCACATGAAATTACAATTCAATACAGCAAGTACTAGTGCAACTATAGTCCTCATGCCTACGCAAAGCTGAGCGAGGCCAATGACTTGGAGTATTTTATTTTCTAGTGAATCAAAGTCTTTGAAAAAACATTTTCAGATTTTGGCATTGCTGTAGGGCGCCTTTTTTTTGAGGGCTATAGATTTTGCAGATTTAATTTCCACAAATTTATGCCGTCTGCCATCTTGTACCGTATTAATTTGATTTTGCGGAAGTAGTTTTTGCGAATTTCTTTAAAATTGCTAAATTTGTGAAATTGACAGTCCTTGAAAAAAGGTGCCCTATGGTATAACAGATATAACAGATACGTGCATGTAACTTGATAGTTGATATTTGAGTAAAGCTTAAAAGATGAGTATAGTAATGAGCATAATTGGATTTATTTCAAAGCAAAATAAGATGGAATTTGGGGCAGTTCCTAAAAGTATAATTGGCAGAAATTGAAGCATAATTTGCTTAGCCCTATATAGTACAGAAATTTTGCCAAAAATGACAAGGAGGGAATTCTCAATTTTAATAATTTTTCTAATAAATATACATGTTTTAACGTTGTGTAGCAAATTTGATCTAAATCCGATTAAAATTAGATTTTACATTTAGTACATGGTCTCGGGCGAAATATCCATTTTTTACATTTTCTATGATGTTTCAGCTCAAAGCATTAGCCCTTTTCTCATCACAGGACATGGGCTACACTCCTGATTTCATATCTCACTGTATCAAACCACTCATTCATGATATCAAGAAGCAAGGTAACCACACCCATTAATTATAAGCAGCCACACCCACCACACTGGAGCTATTAATAGTTATAATTAGGTATTCGTGTCGTTACCAATGGTGGTGGAATTAATCCTGAAGGATGCATTAACACTATTATAAAACGTCATGTCATCTGAGGGGGTGGAGCTATCAGCTGCCGCAATAACCAGGAGGACATGATGAAGAACGTGAGTGGAGAAATAATTTTTTTTCAAGTTATTGGTGTTATTATGTGGTACAGGTGAAGGAGATTAAGGATAGTGGATATGCTGTTGATATTGAATCAGGTCGGACATTACCCTCATCTGCACTGAGCATGAATGCTTATATTGGGTAAGACCCTTTAACCCTTTAAGGACCGTAGAGACTCATTTTATGAGTCATAGATTAACTGCTTTGACAGGCAAATTGACCCATTTACACATCAAAGATGCTAAGCCATAGCAACGCTTGTTTTGTTGCTTGTGTAGGTATCTGTATGTATTTGCTTATCAACTGTCTATCATTCTTGTGAAAGAGACTATCAAATCTCAGCTACTATATTAGTTTGGCACTGGCAGCAACTACACCCATCTTAATTTTGGTCATTAAAGAGTTAATTGATTCTCAGTCAGTGGAGCCTTTATAATAATAGACACTTTAGGACAGTAAAGTTATACTACATAGGTGTCATTTCTCTGGATTTATTTTGTACAGCAATAAAGAATGTATTTGTTACACTAGGTACTCTCTGTTAAATGGATGTATCTGCTATAGTTTATAACATTTATACCATTCATATGTAGAATTTAGATATGATTCTACCAGTCTGGGAGAGAGGGTGAGATTTAGTGCTCAAGCTGCTTATGAGGAAGGATAAGGTTTTAGTCTAGTTGACACCCAAACACTGAAATTAACTTGACACAACATGCATTTATATACAGATAATAATCAAGGAATAATTCATAAGTTCTGCATCACGATGAGTCAGCTCACTACACATGTATGATCTGACTGGACGGAATCAAAGGAGGTTAAGAAATTTAGCATATATGATTAATGATCTCTCATAAAGTTTACATTATATTCATATTGTTTATTTTGTTATGTTCATTTAATTTTCCGAATAAATCTGTCAACTTTTATGATTATTATCCTTCGTAAGTGAGCCTGGTCACGTGTTTATGTCATGCGTATCTACTTAAATAACAATGTGGGAATCAATTTCATGAGTAAATAGTTTCCTAATTAAATTTACGTAACTTCTACAGTTTCTATAGATTCAACAGATAAGCATTGATCAGTACATGCATTCCAAAGCTATGTTGCTCTTCATTGCTACTGGTCTCCTTTTTATTGTAGCCTCTTCAGGTCTTGGATACTGTGAGGAGTATTATGTCTCATCCACTACTCTAGAGTGTACTGGCAACCTTCAACCATGCCACAGTTTGCTCTTCTATTTCAATGACTCTCAACAATACTTTGTCGACGATGCTATTTTCTATTTCATGGAAGGGACTCACATTCTTGATGGGCATGAGTTACTGGCTATTAGAGATGTGAATAACCTCACTTTGAAAGGACTGGATTACAAGTTGGAGGATGGTTTCCATGAAACTGTAAGGCAGTCAACAGTTGTCATAACATGTCAGGAGTCAAGGAGTGGAATTCTCTTCTTCAATAGTTCACTGGTCAGTCTTATTGGCATCAAA